GAATCAGGGTGGAGGATGTGATGTTTCCCACCCGCACTGCCTGGGGTCTGCCCGTCAGGAAGTTCAGGATCCAGTCGCAGAGGGCGCTGTTGAGTCCGAGGTCTCTGAGCTTGATGGCCAGCTTGGAGGGCACAATGGTGTTGAATGCTGAACTGTAGCCAATGAACAGCATTCTCACATATGTGTTCCTCTTCTTCGGGTCCAGGTGTGAGAGGGCAGTGTGGAGGGTGAGGGCTATGGCGTCGTCTGTGGACCTGTTTGCTCTGTAGGCAAACTGCAGGGGGTCCAGAGATTCAGGGAGGGAGGAGGTGATGAATAATTTGACTAACCGCTCAAAGCACTTCATTATGATGGAGGTGAGTGCTACTGGGCGGTAGTCGTTGGGGCAGGTGATGATTGTCTTTTTGGGGACAGGAATGATGGTGGAGTGTTTAAGACATGTGGGGACTACAGACTGCAGCAGGGACCTGTTGAAGATGTCTGTGAACACCTCTGCCAGCTGAACTGCACACACCCTGAGAACACGGCCAGGGATGCCATCAGGTCCAGGAGCCTTGTGTGGGTTAACCCTTTTAAAGGATTTACACACATCTGCCCTATTTAAAACAAAAGGGCAGTGTAGCTCCTGGTCCCTCTGTACCTCCACAGCCTGGCTGCTCTCAAAGCGTGCAAAAAAACTGTTTAGCTCATCTGGGAGAGATGCGCACGCAGACACTCCCGCAGCACCCCCCGCTGCTCCTTTGTAGTCAGTCATTGTCCTTAGTCCCGCCCACATATTCCTAGTGTTACAGCCTTTGAAGTCAGATTCCACCTTCTCTTTGTACTGTCTCTTTGCATTTTTTATTGCTCTCCGGAGATCATACTTAGACTTCCTGTACTCCTCCAAATCTCCCGCTGTGTGCGCGAGAGTGCGCGCTTTCAGTTTGCCGCGCACCTCACCGTTTACCCAGGGCTTTTGATTTGGGAATGTCCGTACAGAAACCTTCGGTACCACGTCATCGATGCATTTCCCAATGTAGCAGATGACAGTGTCCGTGTGTGTGTTGATGTTATTGTCCTCAAACACACTCCAATCCGTGGATGCAAAGCAGTTAACTGTAGTCCTACTCGACCAGCCTATAGACACGCCATAGACACGCCATCATGTTCATCACAACGATGAAACACAGTTTTGTTCTACACTTGCATGCCATGCCCACCCATGATCAATTAGCCTATAATTTTATGTATGCACCCCGGACCGGCACCAGTTCCTCCAGCAATGTAGGGAACTGTGGCGCATCAGGTAATGTACGCACCTCGCACTTGCCAGCACGTCGTAAACGGCCACAAGCCACGAGAGTGCTTTTAAACCATCTCGTTTTTAATAGAGACGGCGGTGGTGTGAGTTAAAGCTATAGACAAAAGCTGTGACTTTCTCCCTCTGAGTTCACTTCACCAGCCCATGCAGATACGGGGAGGTATTTTACACACATCCCCCGGAGCCGCAGCTGGAGCCGTGTTTTTTTTTAGAGGCGCTGGGGGTAATATCTCTGGCTGCTTGTGTTAACTGCTAGTGTTGGCCGCTGAAACCCCCGGAATCTCGGCGATTTGTTCATTACAAATCTCTATTTTGATTTCACACAGAAGTTCCACTTTACTGCTGCCCTCATTAAGGTCTTTTTAAACATCTTCGTGTATGCCTGCACGGCACATATCATGCACTTGGCGTTGACCTGCATGCCTAAAGAAGGGTGCACAAAGTGTGATGTGTTGACTTTATTAGAATATTGCTTGCAACATGATGATACACACCTGTTACACGACAATTTGTACTGCCTGAGAAAAATGCACCCAGTTTCAGATGTTGTATTTTTGTGAGCAGTCAGTATTTTTATGGTTGGAAAGAAAAGATATCCTCCACCGAAAGATGTACAGAAGTGGAAAAAGCATGTTGTACACCAGTCTTGATGTTTGAGATAAGGTAATAAAAATAATAAGTAAAAATAATAATTAAAACATTGAGGAATGTTAAATGTTCCTGTAAATTGTACCGCTATTTATTTGCACAGCATTACGACAAATTGTTATATTAAAAATAGGGTTGCAACAGTGGCGTCGCCTGGCCTGGGCATCCGGGGCTTTAGCCCCGAATGTTTTTTCTGTAGCCCCGGACAATTCTCCCTCAATAATATAATACATTAACCGTGCTTTACGTGAACCTCATCATGACACAAGAGAGGACGGCAGCACTGTAATTTCCCGTGTTCAGTGAATGCAACAGAGGCATGACACCAGACCAATCAGAGAGTTGCATGGAAATAAACATGTGCTTGTGTCATTCAAGCTCGGCTCTGTGTGTGTGTGTGGCAATAGCGCATTTCCACCATGGCGCGGAGCGCGGTTTAAGCGTGCCGTGTCGTGCCGTGCCCGTTTTTGGTTGCGCTTCCACTAGGCCTAGTTACGGCCCGGCCCGGCCCGGGGCCACTTTTTCACCTCTTTTCTGGCCCGACAAAATTGTGGTTCTATCGGGGCCAACAAACAGGGCTGAGTCGGGCTGAGTATGCTAAACTAGAGAGAGAATCGCTGGCAAGGAGGCTACAACTACAACAAGATGAACATATTTGACCGTGATTTAATTGTAATACACGTTTCAAAATGATGCCGAAGTAACAACATACTGATACCGGTTAGTAAAAACCATGAATTAATGCTTTGGCAAGTTTGCAGACAGACGGCAGGTGAAAAACCTTTTAAAATGCGTGTTTTCTAGATGGAGATTGGCTAAGCTAACTCAATATATGCTCCGACCGTCCACACTCACAACAACGGCCTATACAGACATAAATAAAGCAGCGACTGTACTCGCCATGACACAGGCAGTCTGTGGTGTGTACTTGTTTAACTTTTGTCGAGTTTCTGAACATATATAAGGAGCTGTGAGCTCTGAGTGCTAACAGCTAACGGCTGTGTTGTTTTTCTGGGGTTCTCATTGAAGATGACGTCACGGCTCCGCCTACACTGCGTTACTATAGTAACTACCCCAGTTCCTAAACTGTAATGGAAGCGCAGCATGAAGTGAGCCGGCCCTGTTAAGGCCCAACGCGGCCAAGCAGTACCGAGCGTGGCCGAGGCCGACCGTGTGGTGGAAATGCGCCGTCACGGCGATAGAGAGAGAGGGAGAGAGAGAGAGGGGGAGGGAGGGACCGGTGTCAGCATGGACCGTGTTGTTAGCATCTGGTTAGCTAGCTGCACTAACGGACATAAGGAGCTGTTTGTTCCACAAGAAGCTGGAGGAGAGTCCTCTCCTCTCAGACTGAGAGACTCAGGTGAGCTAAAGGACTCTGAGTGTTTAGATAGTTAACTTTAGTCTAAGTTATCTCAGTGGGTCTCAAACGGTTTGGTCACAAATTATTCAAAAGATTATTTCCGCGGCACACGTTTATATGATCATTATAGTTATTTAAAAAAAGAGAATAAAGGAAAAACAGTTCCATCAGTGCCATTTGACCTTTTTCAGGTACCAGACTATAAAAATGATGTATTACATTGAATTATCACCATAGGTATTCATTCCATTGAAAGAAAAAAGAATTAAATAAAACCCGACGGGGGCTTTGGGGCTTAACAGGCTAATGTCCATTGGATCTTGAGTCCAACGCCTTAACCACTCGGCCATCCTGGTTGGACATGCTGAACAAGGACGCAAATTTCGAGCGTTGGGTTGTTTAGTGAAAAAGCAGGTATAACTTCATGAGAACATATCTGAGAGAAAGCTACGAGAATGGCGAATAGAGTGCACAAAAACCCGCTAGGCATAGCAAATACTGGTGGATGCTTTCACCCGTTTCAAGCCATATACTCCTCCTTTGAGTGGACAAACAAACTTATCTTGCCCTTATTTAAGCAATTTTACAGCCAAACAGATTGTTTTCCACCTTTTTCCTACCAGGAGTGGAGTTTGAACCCACGAGGACTAATGTCCATTGGATCTTGAGACCAACGCCTTAACCACTCGGCCATCCTGGTTGGACATGCTGAACAAGGACGCAATTTTCGAGCGTTGGGTTATTTAGTGAAAAAGCAGGTATAACTTCATAAGAACATATCTGAGAGAAAGCTACGAGAATGGCGAATAGAGTGCACAAAAACCCGCTAGGCATAGCAAATACTGGTGGATGCTTTCACCCGTTTCAAGCCATATACTCCTCCTTTGAGTAGACAAACAAACTTATCTTGCCCTTATTTAAAAGGGGAGTGATTAGTAAAATATCCATAAAGAAAAAGTACATCTGTTTACAGTTCTGCTTCATATGGGTGTGGAGAGAGGTATCCATAGATCTCTTCATTTTGCTCTCAAAGTGCACCAGATTGATGCATTTAACTTCAATATTTAAAAAAAAATCTTCCCGGGGGAGCATCCCCCCCCGGACCCCCCGAGAGGAGGTGAGCCCCCCACTAATAAAAAATACCACTTTACCCCTGCCTATATGCCGTGAGCTGATTATCGAGCCTTCATTGTAACAGTCGCGGGTGTACTGTGTGTGTGCGTGTGGGGAGTGTTGCAGTAAAAAATGCCACTGTAGTGCCGCCGCCACTGTGGGCTAAGCCCCGAATGTTTTCAGGTCCAGGCGACGCCCCTGGGTTGCAATAAACCTTTGTCCCTTACAACTGATTGTGAGAATGATTTCTACATGCTAACACTGTTTAGTTAAATATAAATGTGTCATGCTCCAAAGTTGTGCAATAATGTTGTTGTTATTATTATTCTATTCATTGCCCATTAACAGGAATTATTTTACAACAATTTAAAATATTTTGAAATACTTTAATATTTTAATTTTACATTTTAAATGTAATATTTTTATATTTTCAGATCTTTTAAAGACCAAATGTTTACCGCTTGAACAATAAAAAAGGTTGATTTATTGATAATAAAACTAATTCTTACTTGATGTGAACTGATGTAATCTTTTCCACGTGAAAAACCCTGTGGAAATGAATCAAAAATGCTTTCAACATTAGTTCTTAAATCTTTATTAATAATAGTAATGCAGTTGTTATAAGAATAATGATGATAAACATTAAAGTGTACATTTCCTCTGAATGATGATGTGTTGTAATTCCTCACTGTCACCACTGAGGGGCAGCGACTCACTACATTACATTTAGCTGAAGCTTTTATCCAAAGCGATTTACAATAACTGTAAAAACCCATACAGATTCAAACTCAGACCAACAAGAAAAGTGCAGATATATTCACTTCAAGCAAGCCGTATCATTGTAAGTGCTGGTCACTAAGTTACAAGGCCTACATTTACTTTTTTAAGTGCTTTTAAAAATAAAAGATCTACAGTCTGCTGATCATTCAAACCTGTACTGTATGATGCAATGTGCAGCTGAAAGTTTATGTTTTGCAGTTCATTTTTTATAAAAGAAAATTAAATGAATGAAATCTACTAAATAATAAAACATCTCTTTTGTACACTGAAGTTGTATGTGACATTGGAGGCATTGCCAATCCCTTTCCAATATCACACTGAGGTGTCCAAACGCAGGGCCTTTTTGAATACCCTCTGAGCATCCTCAGCGAGCATGTCGAGGATAGTAGTGAGAGCTCTGTAGGTGCAGGCATAAGAGATGGCCGCTGCTGCAGCAAATCCAAAAACTGGAATAAATCTGGACCCTTCCTCTGCTGCTAATGAAGCAACGTGAAACACAGACACCTTCAGCATGTTAAGGACAACCTCACGGCTTATTTCTTTCAAAGCCAGAGGTGATTTCATCTCTGCTCTGAGATCATGCAAAGGCACACCTCCACTATCAGCAAGACTCTGCAGTGATTTGGGATCAAGACCAAAAGTATTTTTGTACACTATGGCATTATCAACCAGCATGGTTAGATCAACAGCTAAAGAGAGCCCAGGAATCGGTACAGCTGCTACGAGTGCAGATGCAGCAGCTAGGTACTTTATTTTTGACTGGAGAGCCTCTTTCTTTTTGTTGATGATCTCAAGATTGACAATTGGCATGGCTAACAGCAGAACATCTCTCTTGTGTGCAGGAAGCTCTCTCTCCAGGGTCTCCATTAACAGACGGAAGTCATACAGGTGGAGATCAAAGCTGGACACCGGGAAGACTTGTGGAGACTGTATACCTTGATTTTCAAGACCTGCATCACAAAGAGAATAAACAAGTTAATTCCAGACAATGAAATTGGAACAGAGTACAGAAAAGCCCCAGCAACCCTCTGCAGGTCAGACACAAAGACCGGCAGGTTGTTTCAGATCTGAGAGGATGATCGGTCACACCAACAGACCCTTATAGCTCAGCCAGTATTCATATGACTCATTGTATGACCTGTTAACATTGATAGCACTTCTTCTCAACTTATGCTGCACATGTGTAAAGTTATTGTTGTCCCCTTAAATTGAACTAGTGTCTACTTGTGACCCTTGTTGCGTAAGCCTTTACGTTTTACATAAATACAACTCTCTGTTCTCGCAGTACTCTCATATATCTGGAATGACATTCTTATAATTTTATAACCATTATTTTAATTCTCTTGGAATAGGATGTTTGCATGTTGAGGGGGAGACACACCGATGGCATGTCCCGCCTGCAAATCTAAAGGGCAAGAATGTGTGGATATAAACAGGAAATGATGTACTTTTATGTCTGTGACCATAGAAAGGTTGTTTTCATTTGAATATTCTTGTTTTTGCTTCAGTTAAGGCACATTTTCACTTTCTCCCATTTCCAGTCTATTTTTCCTAAAGATACAGTATCTAGAAATGTAAACAACTACATTATTAAGCTTTTTTATGTTTTAGCTTTAGGTGAGAGCACATAATTACCTTTAATGCAGTCGTCTCTGATTTTTTTAAGGGTATCTTCAGCGTTGAAATCTCTTTGACTTCTTGTTGCCTCACGCATGTTATTGTCAATCTTTGAGCGAACAAAGTAGAACTTCTTCCCCATCTTCTGAATCTCCAGAGCGAGTTTCACATCATTTTCTCTGAAGCGATCAGCTGAGATGATGATGAAGAAGTCAAATCTTTCAAAGCCAACAAGCTGCAGGTACTTGTCAGCTGGAAAATTGGGGGTGCCAATTCCAGGAAGATCCCAAAGTGTAACATTGGGATATTGTGGATGGGGGTATGATTCGACCTTCATGGTGGTTTCTACACAACCAGTAGGGGCGGCATTCTCATCCATGTTGTCTATGCCTCTAAAGGCGTTAACAAAGGTGGATTTACCAGAGCCAGTCTCTCCTGTGACGGCGATGTGAAGTGGAATATTATCCTGCTCTTCCAAATAAGCATTGAGCATTGCAGCGGCTGCCGCAGGCCCTTGATTTTGCAGAACTTCTTTAAATGTTTGTAATTGTTCATTAGGAAGTGGACCAGCCATAGCTTCCCTTTAATCTAAAAGGAAAAAAAGGAAAGTAATTTCATTATTGTAAATTGCTGAACTGAGCATTTATAATCAAACTCACAGAAACAATGAGTTTGATAATAATACAATTACAATATCCAAACTTTGCAAAAAAAGCATGTGTTTTCTAATAAACTGTGAAGTCTACAATGAAAACTTAAGAACTGTCCTAAAACCCCAGAATAGCCATTGTAAACTCTTTATAGGCTACCTCCATACTAAAAAAAAGGAAAATCACGAAAGACATGCAAGGAGTGAGCAAAAGTCACACATATTGACTGAATATGAAACAGGTGCAACTTCAAAAAAAGATATTGATTATATCCCTTACCGTATGATGCACCTGCAACTTTATACTCAGCAAGAAAGTTGAACTTCTTTGCTGCGCTGTTGTGTGGGTTCAGACTTTAAAGAGTTCCGCCCCTTAGAAACTCAAGGAAGTGGCCAATTAAACCTTTTCCTGCAGTGAGTGACAGAGAATCTAAACCAATCAGTGTTCATCATGTTTCCTTTCTTTTTCCACGTTCAGTTAAAGCAGCTGATTCACAAGAAATGCGTAGAGGAGGGGTCTGTTTACCGAGCACATTGTATTGTCATGAGATGTTAGTGACGTTAACAAAGGTTTCACTTTATGGAGACATGTATTACCTAGACATGTTGCTTGTTGGAAACAAATGCTGTCTAATAATATATCCTGCATTAAAGACACTGAACATATTTTAATCTATAATGAATATTCTTGTACTTTCTGTGAATGAGAAGAACAAACATATCATTTGTTCTATCAGAAAGTATTCTGTATTATGTTGAACATCTTAAAATGGAAAACTCAGCAAACTACAACTTCATAAAGACATTTTAATGTATTGTTGTTTTCTTTTGGACACTTCTAAGAATTACAGCAGTGTGGCACCACTTCTAAATAAGAAGGCATCAAGGGAGTGAGGGGGACAGGGTGGGGCTATATTTTGTGTTACGACATTTCAGTGACTTCATTAAACCAATGTGTGTGTGTGTGTGTGTGTGTGTGTGTGTGTGTGTGTGTGTGTGTGTGTGTGTGTGTGTGTGTGCGTGCGTGCGTGCGTGCGTGCGTGCGTGCGTGTGCGTGTGTGTGTGTGTATATATTTAAATGTATATATTTCATTTGACTCATAGCAAAATGCCAAATCATTATGAAGATCATAATAAGGAAGACTATAAAAAAAAAAAAACTATGAATAAACCGGCAAAATGTGATCGCAATAAAGACTAACTGTATTTGACAATTTATTTTATCATTTATAAAGCATTTCATCCCAGTGGCCAGATGGCCTGGTGTTGTGAGGCAAAGGGAGTCTAAAACTAGGATGGTAGCTGTAGGTTTTGGTTGCCAAGGGTTATCTTTTCATGTTGTTTTTCAAGTTTGGTCTCTGCAAACGGTTACGAGGCTGTATTTACTGTAGGTTGGTCTTTTCAAATGGTTACTAGATTAAATAGGTGTAACCTAGCAGCTGCTATCTTCAATAACAGGAAGCAGCAGCAATACTCATTTGTATCTCACTCAAGCGACATTCATATGGTTAATTCTATATTCAAAAGTTTCCTTCACTTTGAGCGCAGACAGAAATATGTGGTTATAATGGGAGTGAATGAGACATTTTTCTTTTAATATTTGGTATTTTTGATCAGGACTGAAGTTGATTGAAAGATTTAACCCCAAAAAGTTTTTAAAAATATGACTCTGTTATAATAATTTTATAGCAGTTTTTGGAAGTGGACATTTTTGTCCCGAATGACTAATTAGGGTAGTCAATTTTAAATCTGACTCTGTGCAAAAACTAATAATGCAGCAAAATCAATTTTGCTGCTAACCTTTGACATATCACAGACTGTGATTAAAAAAGAGCCAGTCCCCAGATATGTATTATATGGAAAATAACTAATTTTCTCTGTTTTTATCATGAAAAACAACAGTGATGTCATGTTTTCAAAATGGCATTTAAAGGGTTAAAATCCTGAAAATGATGAAATATTTTGTATTTTTGATTAGGGCTGAAGTTGCTTCTAAAACTAAACTAATAATAATATAATATAATAATAATTGAACCCAAAAAAGTGGTGAAACATTTGTTTAATATAATGTTTTTATCAAAGTGTTTTGCAGTGGACATTTTGTCCCGAATGACTAATTAGGGTAGTGCATTTGAATGATACCGGAGGGTTAAGTCCGGTAAGATTTGTATTTACGGATATGATGTGTTTAAATGAATTGTTTGAGCCTGTATGCTGAAGTTGCACCTGCTTAATATTCGGTCAATATTTCTGAATATCTATATCTTTGCAGCCTAATATTATGTGATCTGAATTGTGCTGAACTAGCGTTATAATGTGATGTGTTTACTATGGCTATTCGAGGTATTATTACACCAGTTTTGAGTTTACACTGAGCCTACACACATTTCAAATGTGAATTAGAAGTGTTTTTAAATTAAATCTCCTAACTTTTAATATTATATAGTAATTTGATTGTCAAACTAATTGTTTTTTAAATGTTTGAGTAGATGATAGCAAGGCAAGTTTATTTATAAAGCACCTTTCAACACAAGGTAAATCACATTAAGAGCATTAAGAAATTGTGCAATGAGTGAATAAAACAAAACAAAACAAGCTAATGTAGAATAATACAGGTATACTGTATATACAATACATGAATACAAGTTATAAGTGCTGCAACCCCCCAATTCAATTAATGAAATTACTTTTATTTTATTGAGTGCTAATGTATGGGTAATCAAGTTTTAATGAACATATTGAACGAATTTAAAAAAGTGCTGCAAAAACATGGACCCACTGCAGCAGCTACAAAAATCCAGACTTATTTGGAAGAGCAAAAATATTCCACTTCACATCGCCATCACAGGAGAGTCTGGCTCTGGTAAATCCACCTTTGTTAACGCCTTTAGAGGCTTAGACAAGAAGGATGAGAGTGCTGCAGCCCCTACTGGTTGTGTAGAAACCACCATGGAGGTCAAATCATACCCCCATCCAAAATATCCCAATGTTACACTGTGGGATCTTCCTGGTATTGGCACCACCAAGTGGTTCGCTCAAAGATGGACCATAGCATGCGGGATGAGGAAGAAACTCAGAGTGAGTTCAACGAAGAAAAGACTCTTGCAAAGATTAAGAACGACTGCGTTCAAGGTAAGTATTGGGTCAAAGTGGCTATGAGAAATGTCTTTAACTTAAGGGCTTATGCAATATGGGTCACGTAGAAAGTAGAAACTTGTTCATTTTAAGACAACAAAAATGACTTTATTATTATTATATAGTAAAGTAATAACTTTACACACAGGCAGACAAAGTTGAGAAGTAGAGCTATCAATGATAACAGGTCATAAAATGAGTGATATGAATAGCCTACTGGCTGAGCTCACTAATGGCGCGTTTCCACTACACGGCCTCGCTCGGCCCCGCTCTGTATGGCTAGGCCTCGTTAGGACTGGCTCACTTTATGGCGCATTGCCATTACAGTTTAAGAACTGGGGTAGTATCTATAGTAACGCAGTGTAGGCGGAGCCGTGACGTCATCTTCAATGAGAACCCCAGAAAAACAACACAGCCGTTAGCTGTTAGCACTTAGAGCTCACAGCTCCTCATATATGTTCAGAAACTAGACAAAAGTTAAACAAGTACAAACCACAGACTGCCTGTGTCATGGCGAATACAGTCGCTGCTTTATTTATGTCTGTATAGGCCCAGTGGCGGCCGGTCCATAGGGGCGCTAGGGGCGCCGCCCCACCTCTTCCCATATTGAAAAAAAATAATAATAATAATAATTAAAATTAAAATTAAAAAAAATATATATGTTTAAAAAAATATATATGTTTTTATTTTTATTTTTAATGAACAAGGTAAATATTATATAATTGGTATCAGTAAAATGTATAATCTACAATAAAATCTTGTTTAAAATTGTGTTACGATGTCTAAAGTTACTGATAAGTCACATGTTTCCTGCCTGGCCTTGCCCATGCACCTTCTCTCGTCTGGGCGCTAAAAGAGGAGCCTTCAACCAGTGCAGCAGCAGCCACCAGCAGCTGACTGTTGCTATCTGTAACGTGTAAACTATGCCGCGAAAATATAATTTCAGCCAATCAGCGTCGTCAAAGATGACGGTCACCGGGCGCCAATGTCAGCGCCCAGTGCAGTCTGTGAGTAGTTTGGACAGTGACTCGTATCCGGTTGACGCAGTAGTTGATGAGGATGGCTTCGTGTGCAGGTGGAGTCTCCGGACCTCGGTCCCCGCCTAATTCTGTTCAAGAGCTAATCTCCAATCCTTTCGAAAGGAGAAGTTTGGCAGATAAATTGTTGCTTAAAGACCTTGCACCGGACCAACCCGATTTGAATATATCGCAGCAATCTCGTGAAAAAGACAAAATTTATACACGAGGCTTCACAAGTAGCTGGTACACAAGAAAGGCTTGGCTAGCTGGATGCAAACAGGTAAATGCTGTCTTTTGTTTCCCATGCTTGGATATCACTTTATATGTAGAGAGGAGGTTTCCCATGGTTGTTAGAAGTTTATTAATAAGTGGGCATTTATCACAGAAGTGATTGTTCTGTCTCCACGTTTGTTGCATTGTCTGTGATGTATTTTCCAACGATTATAGCTCCTGTTCTGTCCCAGCAACACTACACGGTTTGCAGCTCCACCACATTTTTGGTTTATCTTCGGTGTCGCTTAAAATCTGCTTCCCATCGGACTAAAACCTCCACGTAATCTGAAGACAGATACTTGAAGTTATTTAAACCTTTTGCAAACTTTATGTTCTTTCTTGCTCTAGCCTTGCCAGTTACATTGTACATAACACATATATTATCATTATGCTAACTGGTTGTTCGTGTTAGACGATGTAGCTTTTTCATTTCTGAGTTATTGCTATATGTAAATAAGCCTGTTTGTAAATAATCCTCAGAGAAACAAAGAAAAAACACAATTTATGACATTTTGTGCTGTGGTTATTTTTTTTAAATTGCATTTATTCACAGTTCAGTTTGAAATGCTGTAGTGACTTGTATTGAACCACTTAAATATTTATAATTAATGCTACTGAAAAGATGCTATTAATTTTATATCTCACATGCAGTTCACTGTAAAGCTACTTGGTGAAGGTGTTGGTTCATAAAACATGAACAGTTTTAAGAAAGAAAAAAACAGACCAGTTCTGAGAACACAAATTCCTGGTAAAGTAGTAGATGTTCAGGTTGATAAATAATATTTTCCACACTGAAGATTATGGAGGTATTGATCAGTCTTCTCATATTTTTAAGCCTCGATTTCTCCTTTCCCCCCCCCTCTAACATCACCAGAAGTCATCATTTAAGGGGTCATTTCTCGAAAAAAGATTCCGGGGGGAAACCCCCCGGACCCCCCGAGTAGGTCACTTACGGTACGTCAAGAACCCGACCAAAAAAAAAGACCACCGGCCGCCACTGTATAGGCCGTTGTTGTGAGTGTGGACGGTCGGAGCATATACTGCGTTAGCTTAGCCAATCTCCATTTAGAAAACACGCATTTTAAAAGGTTTTTCGCCTGCCGTCTGTCTGCAGACTTGTCAAAGCATTAATTCATGGTTTTTACTAACCGGTATCAGTATGTTGTTACTTCGGCATCATTTTGAAACGTGTATTACAATTAAATCACGGTCAAATATGTCCATCTTGTTGTAGTTGTACAACAGCGATGCTCTCTGTAGTTTAGCATACTCAGCCCGACTCAGCCTCGTTGTCTCTGGCCCTAGACCCACGATTTTATGAGGCCAGAAAAACTGTGAATTAGGACCCGCCGGCCGGTACTAGGCCAAGTGGAAACGCAACCAAAGACGGGCCGCTGACGTCACAGCCCTCTTAAACCGTGCTCCGCGCTGTAGTGGAAATGCGCCATAAGGGTGTGTTGGTGTGACCGATCACCCTCTCAGATCTGAAACTAATTACATGCTTGGATGTTTATTCGGCCATTGACTGGCTGATTTTGGAGTGTACAGATGGAAAAGGAATGAAATTAGTAGCTTGTTCAATGCACTTTTTTCAAGGGACATTTTAATTTGCAGCGCCATTTTGAGCCCTTTTTTTTTTTAAATGAGAGGGGTGTGTTAGAAATTAAAATCAATGTTTTATAGCATAATTTAGTCTAAAACATACCGTCAGTTTAAAAGCTGTTTTATCCTGAAAAAAACGGAAGTTCTCGTAAAATCTCAATGCCAAGCTTTTATTCTGAAAATCTTTCATCTCCGGTTAGCATTTAGCATGTGGCTAATATTACGTTTTCTAGATGTGAATGTAAAGTGAAAATGACACGGAGTGTTGCACACCAAAACCTACTGATCTTAACACTACACCAGTCGAGATATTATAATTGCTGAATATTAAATGAAGGTACAGTTTATTTTAATAAAGTTTTGTTGACAGAAGTAGGTAGATATGACGACTTCCGGTACTACAGTAAATGAGAACTGCCGTAAATGATAACTGCTGAAAAGCACTTCTGGTATTACTAAAGTGTCTATTTACAGCCGTTATAATGCATTAAATAAAAAGTCATGAAAGAGACAATGAGGAGAAGAGGTGTGTGGAGTTATGCAATGAATGTACAACGTCTGAATCCTCTGTTATGCGCGATAACGGACATTGAAGACCTCCCCCAGCAACGCGAACCGGCCCTTGAGGAGGAGCCAACGGAGGGGATATAACCAGCTGACGAGCGTTGTCTCCGGACTAGTCTTCACCTTCCCTTCACCCCGGCGAGGCAACAGCTGCTCTGTCTCTCCTCGTACCCTCTGCTTGTTGTATCACCGCGCCATTTAATTAAACTCAACTCATTTGAACCTTTCCGGAGACTCCATTAGTCTCTTGATTCTAAGCTTCTCTCCTGGACGCGAGAACAACGAATACTTCTAACAGTTGCAACGAAAGAGTGGTGCAAAAAAGCATGGTGTGAAGAAGAGAGAAAAAAGGGCAAGTGAGGTTTGGACTCGGCTGAATACACATTAACAGAGTTTTTAACCCCCAACAGTCTGGGTCACCTGTAAGAAGAAAAGTGTATTTCTGACAGCGCCACATTTCTGTCAAATCATGCACTTGGCGTTGACCTGCATGCCTAAAGAAGGGTGCACAAAGTGTGATGTGTTGACTTTATTAGAATATTGCTTGCAATATGATGATACACATCTGTTACACGACAATTTGTACTGCCTGAGAAAAATGCACCCAGTTTCAGATGTATTTTTGTGAGCAGTCAGTATTTTTATGGTTGGAAAGAAAAGATATCCTCCACCGAAAGATGTACAGAAGTGGAAAAAGCATTTTGTACACCAGTCTTGATGTTTGAGATAAGGTAATACAAATAATAATAAAAAATAATTAAAACATTGAGGAATGTTAAATGTTCCTGTAAATTGTACCGCTATTTATTTGCACAGCATTACGACAAATTGTTATATTAAAAATAGGGTTGCAATAAACCTTTGTCCCTTACAACTGATTGTGAGAATGATTTCTACATGCTAACAGTGTTTAGTTAAATATAAATGTGTCATGCTCCAAAGTTGTGCAATAATGTTGTTATTATTAGTCTATTCATTGCCCATTAACAGGAATTATTCTACAACCATTTAAAAGATTTTGAAATAATTGTATATTTTAATTTTACATTTTAAATGTATTGTTTTTCGGATCTTTTAAAGACCAAATGTTTACCGCTTGAACAATAAAAAAGGTTGATTTATTGATAATAAAACGAATTCTTACTTGATGTAAACTGATGTAATCTTTTCCACGTGAAAAACCCTGTGGAAATGAATCAAAAATGCTTTCAACATTAGTTCTTAAATCTTTATTAATAATAGTAATGCAGTTGTTATAAGAATAATGATGATAAACATTAAAGTGTACATTTCCTCTGAATGATGATGTGTTGTAATTCCTCACTGTCACCACTGAGGGGCAGCGACTCACTACATTACATTTAGCTGAAGCTTTTATCCAAAGCGACTTACAATAAGTGTAAAAACCAGTGGCGGCCGGTCCATAGGGGCGCTAGGGGCGCCGCCCCACCTCTTCCCATATTAAAAAATAAAAATAAAAAATATATTTTAAAAAACATATATTTTTTTTTTTTTTTTTAATTAACAAGGTAAATATTATATAATTGGTATCAGTAAAATGTATAATCTACAATAAAATATCGTTTAAAATTGTGTTACGATGTCTAAAGTTACTGATAAGTCACATGTTTCCTGCCTGGCCTTGCCCGTGTACCTTCTCTCGTCTGGGCGCTAAGAGAGGAGCCCTCAACCAGTGCAGCAGCAGCCACTAGCAGCTGACTGTTGCTATATGTAACGTGTAAACTATGCCGCGAAAACATAATTTCAGCCAATCAGCGTCGTCAAATATGATGGTCACATGGCTCCTACGTGAGCGCCCGGTGCAGTCTGTGAGTTGTTTGGACTCGTATCCAAGGAGACAAAACAGGAAGCTGTCATACACTCTGGAAGCTACCATTTAGCAGCTAATGAAAACTCCGTTTTTGACATAAAAATGGAATTATGGATCATCAATCATTTTTCAAAGTGACAGACACATTGGATTCATTTATGGATTAACCTTCAGCTGCGTTTTTCTCGTTTTTTATCAGAATTGTTATTCTGCAAAAGGTGAGCATATCTCCATGTTTTGCTACCTAAAGCTACGTCGTGTGATGTCTGTATTTGCTTCCCCTGTCGCGAGTTCTAATCGCTCAGTGATGATACTTATATTTCTAGAATATGTGGAATCTCAGTTTGTAAGCTTGTTTGTGCATATCCGATAAGTATATTGATTGATTTATACCTAGAGTGCGTTAGCATTTTTTCGCTCAGGGCTCATTTAGACGCTTCTTGTGAGACTTGTGTTTTGTTTCGGTAAACATGGTTCATATCATCAGTTAGATGCGTTTCCTCTGAGTAGGACACATGAATAGTTTATTACATTTTAAGAAGCCCTGAGACACAGTTTCGTGAGAAAAAAAACGGGGGAAAAAAGCCCCTTAACAGGTTAAATGGGAATTAAATCAGTGTTCCCAAAGCCCCAGTGTTCTGCAGTTTGTGTGGGCCAACTGTACTGTTGCACAGTTTATGCTGTAGAAACTATGTCCAGGACAAGGTGTTTGGAAGTTTTGGAAGATTCATAGCTAACCACACTGAAGTTATGGAGGTATTGATCAGTCTTCTCATATTTTTAAGCCTCAAATTGTCCTTCTCCCCCCCCTCTAACATCACCAGAAGTCATGATTTAAGGGGTCTTTTCTCAAAAAAAATTACCGGGGGGGACCCCGGACCCCTCTAGTATTGTTTGATCACCATTTCCACAGCCCCACCTAAAATATTTTCCACCAGCCGCCACTGGTAAAAACCATAAAGATTCAAACTCGGACCAACAAGAAAAGTGCAGATATATTCACTTCAAGCAAGCCATACCATTGTAAGTGCTGGTCACTAAGTTACAAGGCCTACATTTACTTTTTTTCAAAGTGCTTTTAAAAATAAAAGATCTACAGTCTGCTGATCATTCAGCCTGTACTGTATGATGCAATGTGCAGCTGAAAGTTTATGTTTTGCAGTTCATCTTTTATAAAAGAAAATTAAATGAATGAAATCTACTAAATAATAAAACATCTCTTTTGTACACTGAAGTTGTATGTGACATTGGAGGCATTGCCAATCCCTTTCCAATATCACACTGAGGTGTCCAAGTCCAGGGCCTTTCTGAATACCCTCTGAGCATCCTCAGCAAGCATGTTGAGGATAGTAGTGAGAGCTCTGTAGGTGCAGGCATAAGAGATGGCCGCTGCTGCTACAAATCCAAAAAATGGAATAAATCTGGACACTTCCTCTGCTGCTATTGAAGCAAGGTGAAACACAGACACCTTCAGCATGTTAAAGGTGGGGTAGGTAAGTTTGAGAAACCGGCTCAAGATCGCTAGAATTTGAAAATACACAACCGGAGAAAATCTGCCACTTCCTTATAGAGCCCCTCCTCCAACACACACGAACGCGCACATGACCAATGAGGGCACGAGATAAGTTTGTGCACAGATGGAAGGCTGACAGACAGGTAGGCCATCCAGTTATTTTAGCCGGGCTGGCTAAAATGATTGGTCGTACTTTTTACAGTATTACGGCTTCCACAGATGACATTTTTTTAATGGATTTTTTGTCAAAGCACTTAAGATATTCATTGCTATCGGGATGTTAAGAGCATTCCATGGAATATAACAAAAAGTGTATCTCGGGCCGGTTTCTCAAACTTACCTACCCCACCTTTAAGGACAACTTCACTGCTTATTTTCTCTAAAGCCAGAGGTGATTTCATCTCTGCTCTCAGATCATGCAAAGGCACACCTGCACTATCAGCAAGACTCTGCAGTGATTTGGGATCAAGACCAAAAGTATTTTTGTAGACTTTCAACCACATTATCAACCAGCATGGCTAGATCAACAGCTAAAGAGAGCCCAGGAAGCGGTGCAGCTGCTACGAGTGCAGATGCAGCAGCACGGAACTTTATTTTTGACTGGAGAGCCTCTTTCTTTTTGTTGATGATCTCAAGATTGACAATTGGCATGGCTAACAGCCAGTGGCGGCGCCAGGGTATGGCTGGGCTACAGCCATACCAAGAAATGGCTTAGCCCCACCTCAGCCCCACCATGAAAAATGATGTTAAAGTAAGCAAAATAAAGTCCGTCAACTCGCGCGGAGTAAATTGCACAGACAGCAGTTAGTAAGATTGATTTCAGTAGCCACTTGTCTGGAAATACCGAAGACTAGAAACCGTTTTGAAAACTTTTGTCACGTAGTGATCATCTTCTCAATAAAACATCTTTGATAATGTCTTCTGGCCAATCAGAATCACGATAACGGCGTGGTGTTGTTACAGGAAGTCCCGACGGAGAACACTTTTGCTGTAGTACATCTCTATACATCGATACAACATTACGTGTTGATTTAATAAGACCCCACGGTTTGATGATTGATAGGTGTGGGCTGTCTTTCATTTTGACACACAGAACAATGGGGGCTATCCACCCTTATCCACAATGTAAAGTAATTCACACAGCCTCTTTCCTCTTCTCTGTGAGGAGCAGCACTGCATTCATTTTTTTAAATGTGTAGTAATAGATGTATGTATTTTTCTTCTCAAGAGAGTACCAGAATGTGTATTTTGTGTTAGTATTTCAAAAAATCTCCTGGGGGAGAATCCCCCAGACCCCTCTGCAGGGGTTGGGTTTTCAGCATGTCAACTCTTTCACCTGTGGGGAAATTGCAGGATTGGCTCCAGGTCGCCCTTTTTGTTTACTACAAGACATTGCAAATACTGACTTGAGCCCCACCACTGTATGGGTTAGCCCTACCATAGATTCCCCAACTAAAATACTCTGGAGCCGCCACTGCTAACAGCAGAACATCTCTCTTGTGTGCAGGAAGCTCTCTCTCCAGGGTCTCCATTAACAGACGGAAGTCATACAGGTGGAGATCAAAGCTGGAGACCAGGAAGACTTGTGGAGACCGTATATCTTGATTTTCAAGACCTGCATCACAAAGAGAATAAACAAGTTAATTCCAGACAATGAAATTGGAACAGAGTAAAGGAAAGCCCCAGCAACCCTCTGCAGGTCAGACACAAAGACCGGCAGGTTGTTTCAGATCTGAGAGGATGATCGGTCACACCAACAGACCCTCAGTGAGCTCAGCCAGTATTCATATGACTCATTTTATGACCTGTTAACATTGATAGCACTTCTTCTCAACTTATGCTGCACATGTGTAAAGTTATTGTTGTCCCCTTAAATTGAACCAGTGTCTACTTGTGACCCTTGTTGCGTAAGCCTTTACGTTTTACATAAATACAACTCTCTGTTCTCGCAGTACTCTCATATATCTGGAATGACATTCTGATAATTCTATAACCATTATTTTAATTCTCTGGGAATAGGATGTTTGCATGTTGAGGGGGAGACACACCGATGGCATGTCCCGCCTGCAAATCTGAAGGGCAAGAATGTGTGGATATAAACAGGAAATGATGTACTTTTATGTCTGTGACCATAGAAAGGTTGTTTTCATTTGAATATTCTTGTTTTTGCTTCAGTTAAGGCACATTTTCACTTTCTCCCGTTTCCAGTCTATTTTTCCTAAAGATACAGTATCTAGAAATGTAAACAACTACAATATTAAGCTTTTTTATGTTTTAGCTTTAGGTGAGAGCACATAATTACCTTTAATGCAGTCGTCTCTGATTTTTTTAAGGGTATCTTCAGCATTGAAATCTCTTTGACTTCTTGTTGCCTCACGCATGTTATTGTCAATCTTTGAGCGAACAAAGTAGAACTTCTTCCCCATCTTCTGAATCTCCAGAGCGAGTTTCACATCATTTTCTCTGAAGCGATCAGCTGAGATGATGATGAAGAAGTCAAATCTTTCAAAGCCAACAAGCTGCAGGTACTTGTCAGCTGGAAAATTGGGGGTGCCAATTCCAGGAAGATCCCACAGTGTAACATTGGGATATTGTGGATGGGGGTATGATTCGACCTTCATGGTGGTTTCTACACAACCAGTAGGGGCGGCATTCTCATCCTTGTTGTCTATGCCTCTAAAGGCGTTAACAAAGGTGGATTTACCAGAGCCAGTCTCTCCTGTGACGGCGATGTGAAGTGGAATATTATCCTGCTCTTCCAAATAAGCATTGAGCTGTGCAGCGGCTGCCGCAGGCCCTTGATTTTGCAGAACTTCTTTAAATGTTTGTAATTGTTCATTAGGAAGTGGACCAGCCATAGCTTCCCTTTAATCTAAAAGGAAAAAAAGGAAAGTAATTTCACTATTGTAAATTGCTGAACTGAGCATTTATAATCAAACTCACAGAAACAATGAGTTTGATAATAATACAATTACAATATCCAAACTTTGCAAAAAAAGCACGTGTTTTCTAATAAACTGTGAAGTCTACAATGAAAACTTAAGAACTGTCCTAAAACCCCAGAATAGCCATTGTAAACTCTTTATAGGCTACCTCCATACTAAAAAAAAGGAAAATCACGAAAGACATGCAAGGAGTGAGCAAAAGTCACACATATTGACTGAATATGAAACAGGTGAAACTTCAAAAAAAGATATTGATTATATCCCTTACCGTATGATGCACCTGCAACGTTGATACAAAGTTGAACTTCTTTGCTGCGCTGTTGTGTGGGTTCAGACTTTAAAGAGTTCCGCCCCTTAGAAACTCAAGGAAGTGGCCAATTAAACCTTTTCCTGCAGTGAGTGACAGAGAATCTAAACCAATCAGTGTTCATCATGTTTCCTTTCTTTTTCCATGTTCAGTTAAAGCAGCTGATTCACAAGAAATGCGTTGAGGAGGGGTCTGTTTACCGAGCACATTGTATTGTCATGAGATGTTAGTGACGTTAACAAAGGTTTCACTTTATGGAGACATGTATTACCTAGACATGTTGCTTGTTGGAAACAAATGCTGTCTAATAATATATCCTGCATTAAAGACACTGAACATATTTTAATCTATAATGAATATTCTTGTACTTTCTGTGAATGAGAAGAACAAACATATCATTTGTTCTATCAGAAAGTATTCTGTATTATGTTGAACATCTTAAAATGGAAAACTCAGCAAACTACAACTTCATAAAGACATTTTAATGTATTGTTGTTTTCTTTTGGACACTTCTAAGAATTACAGCAGTGTGGCACCACTTCTAAATAAGAAGGCATCAAGGGAGTGAGGGGGACAGGGTGGGGCTATATTTGTGTTACGACATTTCAGTGACTTCATTAAACCAATGTGTGTGTGTGTGTGTGTGTGTGTGTGTGTGTGTGTGTGTGTGTGTGTGTGTGTGTGTGTGTGTGCGTGCGTGCGTGCGTGCGTGCGTGCGTGCGGTGTGCGTGTGCGTGTGTGTGTGTATATATTTAAATGTATATATTTCATTTGACTCATAGCAAAATGCCAAATCATTATGAAGATCATAATAAGGAAGACTATAAAAAAAAACATTATGAATAAACCGGCAAAATGTGATCGCATTAAAAACTAACTGTATTTGACAATTTATTTTATCATTTATAAAGCATTTCATCCCAGTGGCCAGATGTCCTGGTGTTGTGAGGCAAAGGGAGTCTAAAACTAGGATGGTAGCTGTAGGTTTTGGTTGCCAAGGGTTATCTTTTCATGTTGTTTTTCAAGTTTGGTCTCTGCAAACGGTTACTAGGCTGTATTTACTGTAGGTTGGTCTTTTCAAATGATTACTAGATTAAATCGGTGTAACCTAGCAGCTGCTATCTTCAATAACAGGAAGCAGCAGCAATACTCATTTGTATCTCACTCAAGCGACATTCATATGGTTAATTCTATATTCAAAAGTTTCCTTCACTTTGAGCGCAGACAGAAATATGTGGTTATAATGGGAGTGAATGAGACATTTTTCTTTTAATATTTGGTATTTTTGATCAGGACTGAAGTTGATTGAAAGATTTAACCCCAAAAAGTTTTTAAAAATATGAATCTGTTATAATAATTTTATAGCAGTTTTTGGAAGTGGACATTTTTGTCCCGAATGACTAATTAGGGTAGTCAATTTTAAATCTGACTCTGTGCAAAAACTAATAATGCAGCAAAATCAATTTTGCTGCTAACCTTTGACATATCACAGACTGTGATTAAAAAAGAGCCAGTCCCCAGATATGTATTATATGGAAAATAACAAATTTTCTCTGTTTTTATCATGAAAAACAGCAGTGATGTCATGTTTTCAAAATGGCATTTAAAGGGTTAAAATCCTGAAAATGATGAAATATTTTTTTTTTTTTATTAGGGCTGAAGTTGCTTCTAAAACTAAACTAATAATAATATAATATAATAATAATTGAACCCAAAAAAGTGGTGAAACATTTGTTTAATATAATGTTTTTATCAAAGTGTTTTGCAGTGGACATTTTGTCCCGAATGACTAATTAGGGTAGTGCATTTGAATGATACCGGAGGGTTAAGTCCGGTAAGATTTGTATTTACGGATATTATGTGTTTAAATGAATTGTTTGAGCATGTATGCTGAAGTTGCACCTGCTTAATATTCGGTCAATATTTCTGAATATCTATATCTTTGCAGCCTAATATTATGTGATCTGAATTGTGCTGAACTAGCGTTATAATGTGATGTGTTTACTATGGCTATTCGAGGTATTATTACACCAGTTTTGAGTTTACACTGAGCCTACACACATTTCAAATGTGAATTAGAAGTGTTTTTAAATTAAATCTCCTAACTTTTAATATTATATAGTAATTTGATTGTCAAATTAATTGTTTTTTAAATGTTTGATTAGATGATAGCAAGGCAAGTTTATTTATAAAGCACCTTTCAACACAAGGTAAATCACATTAAGAGCATTAAGAAATTGTGCAATGAGTGAATAAAACAAAACAAAACAAGCTAATGTAGAATAATACAGGTATACTGTATATACAATACATGAATACAAGTTATAAGTGCTGCAACCCCCCAATTAAATTAATGAAATTACTTTTATTTTATTGAGTGCTATGGATAATCAAGTTTTTAATGAACATATTGAACGAATTTAAAAAAGTGCTGCAAAAACATGGACCCACTGCAGCAGCTACAAAAATCCAGACTTATTTGGAAGAGCAAAAATATTCCACTTCACATCGCCATCACAGGAGAGTCTGGCTCTGGTAAATCCACCTTTGTTAACGCCTTTAGAGGCTTAGACAAGAAGGATGAGAGTGCTGCAGCCCCTACTGGTTGTGTAGAAACCACCATGGAAACAGTTTATAAATCTTTTTATTAGTTTTCTCACAGATAGCGAACAGACATTTTCAAGACATTACATGTAAAATACTGTGTTTTCCTAATATAGATGACAAACAAACACGAACCCCATTACCCCGCCTATTCACACAAACATACAAGGTTTGGGGGGGACAAGGAAATAAAAACAAACATAAATAAAGGATGAATATTAAATAGTATTGCAAAGAAAAGGGAGGGGAGTGGGGGGTGCTCTGCTGAGAATTAAGTATTGGGTTCTTCGTCAATAGTAAGGATGTCAATGTGGTCCAGAAAAGGCTGCCAGGTTTTATGGAACGTCGTCAGGGAGCCCCTAAGGGAGAACCTAATCCTCTCAAGCCTGACGCAATACAGGATTTCATGAATCCATCTATTATGGGTGGGAGGGGAGGAATGTATCAATTTAAGGAGAATAAGCCTCCTGGCAAGCAGAGGTGTGAATGCAATAACTCGTTGTGTGGTAATGGGTGCATTGGGCATCGAAGGAATTCCGAAAAGGGCAGTGAGGGGGCTAGGGTCTACTGTCTCACCTAAGACCTCCCCAAGTGAATCAAATATTGCAGACCAGAACTCTGATAGTTTAGGGCACGACCAAAACATGTGCATGTAGTCAGCCGGAGATTGTTTACATCTATTACATGTGTCAGACCTGTCAGGATATATCCTGGCCAGTTTTGCGTTAGTGAAATGTACTCTGTGCAGAATCTTGCACTGCAGTAAGCTATGCCTTGCACATATAGAAGAGGCGTGTACCAGGTCTAATATACGTCCCTACTGATCATCTGACATGTTAATCCCGAGGTCCTGGTCCCATACAACTCTAAGGGAATTTAAGCAAGTAGGATTTATCTTTAAAATGTTATCATATATAATGGAGGTGAGCTTCCTTGAATCGGTCTTAAGTGATAGGAAATAATCAATTATCGAATCAGGAGGCCGGCCTGGAAATTGGGGGTATTTATTTTCCACAAAGTGCCTGATCGGAAAGAATCGGAACAAATGAGAACTTGGAAGGTCAAATTTGTTGGCTAAATCTGCAAACGAAGAGAAAACACCACCAGCATAAAGGTCATTAATAGACCGCAGGCCTTTGTCTGACCAAGTCTGGAAGACAGGATCTGAGCACGACGGGAGGAAAAGGTGATTGCGATAGACCGGGGCAAGACCTGATGACGCTGTGATGATGCTTCCTAAACTGACCCCAAATCTTTAAAGTGTTGCAATCGGATTATGAGGAACTTGTTTAATTGGAAAAGGCAATTGAGAACATACCACCGACCAAAGTGAGAGACCCGAAGAGGAAGCCTCCATCTGGGCCCATCGAGGGTGTTCGCCCTGTGCCAAATTAGTGTTCCAAAAAAGAAGCTTATTAATATTACATGTCCAATAATTTTGGCGGAGATTAGGCAGCGCCAGGCCACCTTCAGACTTGGGGAGTTGAAGAACTACTCTTCTGATACGAGCCCTCTTGTTGCACCATAAGAAATAATTAATCTGCTGGTCAAGTGCTGAGAAAAAGGATTTATTTATAAATATTGGAATGTGTTGGAAGGAATATAAGAACCGAGGAAGCACCACCATTTTTATCAAATGAACACGTCCCATTAAAGAGAAAGGCAAGGAGGACCATCTAGCTAAGTCTGCTTTAAAGCGATCTACTAATGGGCTAAGGTTCTTGGCAAAAAGCTCTGTAAACGATTTAGTAATATGGATACCCAGGTATTTGAATCCCTCTGAGACCTTCTTAAAAGGAAAGAGAGCCTTGGGACGTTTTTCAGCAAGGGTGTTAACAGGGAAGTATTCGCTTTTCTGGAGGTTGAGTTTGTAGCCAGATAGCTTCTTAATTTGCTCTAAAATGCTTAGAATTATAGGAAGGGAGGACGATGGGCTGGAGATATACAGTAAAAGGTCATCTGCATACAAAGAGAGCTTATGCAAAAAAACAAATAATGACGGAGATAGAGGGCAACCCTGCCTATTTCCGCGAGAGAGCGAGAACAGACCAGACTTAAAGGAGAGGTGTCATGGCCATTTCCACTGATCATAATTCCATTGTTGAGGTATACTAAAATAGATTTATACTGTGCATTTTTCCAAACTCACATTGGTTTCTCATACAGCATCTCTGTAAACTACTTGTATTCACTGAATTTCACTCTCTGCCTTTAACGGCTCGTTGTAGCTCCCAAAGCTCCAGCCCCCACCCTCCCTGTGAGTAAAGAAGTATGGGCTTTGAAATGTACTTAAGTAAAAAGTACCCATAACTAGCAGCTGTTTTAAAGAGTACCTGACCTCCCTTTATATTAATAGAACAATAATGTCATTGTTAGCTAATGAATGTTTCCATGCTGAACAACGGCAACATGACAACGTTTTCATTGGTCCCTCTTCTTTAGAGAAGACCAGGAAATGATGGATACACGGATCGTGTTCAAATCAATAGGCACGCAATGACTCTAAATAATAATGATCACGCCACCAAACACACATAAGATTATGAGATATAAGACTTTTTATTTTCTGTATTTATTTATCCTTAAATCTAAATACTGCTCTATTGTTGTCTTTTCAGGTATTCAAATTTGTATTTTCTTTGACTTTTAAAGTGAAAGGAGCAGAGGTGGAACACATTCTCAGATTTCTCACTTAAGTAAAAGTAGAAATATTACATTGTATAAATACTTTGTTACAAGTAACTTATTAAGTTATGGCATCATAATATACTGAAAGGAGGCAGGTGAACAGATAGACATCAAAGGGGGCTTGAGCACCTGCCGTAGAATGTACTTTTTTTAAATTTACAAAACAATTAAATTGTCTAACATAAAGCAAAAAAAAAAAAAACCTGTGTCTAATACACATTATCTAAAGCTAATGTGTTGCTTTTATAATTGTGTGCCTAATTATGACATGATAGGTTAATTATATTGAACTACATACATTTTAATATCCCTTAAAACTGTCACAAAAGTAGATATTTTAGGAATACATTTTATAGTAATAGAAATCGCTGGTGTGCCCTTTTTTGAATTTGGTACGCACAATAATTTGAGTACTTGTCCCATTTTAGAATCATATTTATTAAATCAATGGATTATAATAATTCACCCATTAATGTGTTCATCACAGCTGTAAACAGTGGAGCTAATGTATTTATTTTATATACTGCTGCTGGATATCTTAACTTCATATCAAAGTTGATATATTAGATATATTAATATGTTGTATTAAAGGTGGGGTAGGTAAGTTTGAGAAACCGGCTCGAGATTGCTAGAATTTGAAAATACACAACCGGAGAAAATCTGCCACTTCCTGACAGAGCCCCTCCTCCAACACACACGAACGCGCACATGACCAATGAGGGCACGAGATAAGTTTGTGCACAGATGGAAGGCTGACAGGCAGGTAGGCCATCCAGTTACTTTAGCCGGGCCGGCTAAAATGATTGGTCGTGCTTTTTACAGTACTACGGCTTCCACAGATGAAATTTTTTTATGGATTTTTTGTCAAAGCACTTAAGATATTCATTGCTATCGGGATGTTAAGAGCATTCCATGGAATATAACAAAAAGTGTATCTCGAGCCGGTTTCTCAAACTTACCTACCCCACCTTTAACTTATAATGTGAATATGTAAATTACATTACATGTCACTTGTTAGACGCTTTTATCCAAAGCGACTTACATACTCAATACTGTGGGCAATCCCCACAGGAGCAATTTGGGGTGAAGCGTCTTGCCCAGGGACACAACGACATGCTGACTGCAGTGGGGTTTGAACCTGTGACCCCCTGATCTGGACACCAACGCTCAACCCACTGCACCACAGCCTCCTCAAAATACCTACTTTTGTTAAATAAATGTAGAGGAGTTGGCTATATTGGCTGCAAAAATGTAGTGGAGTAAAAGTATACAAGTAGCCAGTGGCGGCCGGTCCATAGGGGCGCTAGGGGCGCCGCCCCACCTCTTCCCATATTAAAAATTAAAAAAAAAAAAAAAAAAAAATATATATATTTAAAAAAAAATATTTTTTTTTATTTTTATTTTTAATGAACAAGGTAAATATTATATAATTGGTATCAGTAAAATGTATAATCTACAATAAAATCTCGTTTAAAAATTGTGTTACGATGTCTAAAGTTACTGATAAGTCACATGTTTCCTGCCTGGCCTTGCCTGTGTACCTCTCGTCTCGGCGCTAAGAGAGGAGCCCTCAACCAGTGCAGCAGCAGCCACTAGCAGCTGACTGTTGCTATCTGTAACGTGTAAACTATGCCGCGAAAACATAATTTCAGCCAATCAGCGTCGTCAAATATGATGGTCATAGGGCTCCTACGTGAGCGCCCGGTGCAGTCTGTGAGTTGTTTGGACTCGTATCCAAGGAGACAAAACAGGAAGCTGTCATACACTCTGGAAGCTACCATTTAGCAGCTAATGAAAACTCCGTTTTTGACATGAAAATGGAATTATGGATCATCAATCATTTTTCAAAGTGACAGACACATTGGATTAATTTATGGATTAACCTTCAGCTGCGTTTTTCTCGTTTTTGATTAGAATTGTTATTCTGCAAAAGGTGAGCATATCTCCATGTTTTGCTACCTAAAGCTACGTCGTGTGATGTCTGTATTTGCTTCCACTGTCGCGAGTTCTGATAACTCAGTGATGATACTTATATTTCTAGAATATATGGAATCTCAGCTTGTAAGCTTGTTTGTGCATATCCGATAAGTATATCGATTGATTTATACCTAGAGTGCGTTAGCATTTTTTCGCTCAGGGCTCATTTAGATGCTTCTTGTGAGACTTGTGTTTTGTTTCGGTAAACATGGTTCATATCATCAGTTAGATGCGTTTCCTCTGAGTAGGACACATGAATAGTTTATTACATTTTAAGAAGCCCTGAGACACAGTTTCGTGAGAAAAAAAACGGGGGGAAAAAGCCCCTTAACAGGTTAAATGGGAATTAAATCAGTGTTCCCAAAGCTCCGGTGTTCTGCAGTTTGTGTGGGCCTACTGTACTGTTGCACAGTTTATGCTGTAGAGACTATGTCCAGGACAAGGTGTTTGGAAGTTTTGGAAGATTCATAGCTAACCACACTGAAGTTATGGAGGTATTGATCAGTCTTCTCATATTTTTAAGCCTCAAATTGTCCTTCTCCCCCCCTCTAACATCACCAGAAGTCATGATTTAAGGGGTCTTTTCTCAAAAAAAATTACCGGGGGAGCATCCCCCCGGACCCCTCTAGTATTGTTTGATCACCATTTCCACAGCCCCACCTAAAATATTTTCCACCAGCCGCCACTGCAAGTAGCAATAAATGGAAATAGTTAAGTAAAGTAAAAGTACCCCAAAATCGTAGTTAAGTAGGCCTACTGTACTTGAGTAAATGTACTTCAATACATTACACTACTGGAAATGAGCCAAATAAAATGCCTCGTGTTATATTTGATAGCTGGGGTAAGAACTCTACACTTCTGAGGAGAAATGTAAACAGTATTGTGTGTATTTATGTATTTGGATGTACACTTGACACTTCCAGCTTCTCTGATTCTCAGTCTGAACTTCCTGTTACTCAAACCGAAAGTAAAATATTTCGCGGCAGTGAGAGTAGGTACTAGTGAGCTCCTTTTTTCACACGGTAAGACATTTTGGGATTTACATTATTATTGCTCATTATTGCATTGTTCGGACTCTTGGTTTCCGGTGTGGTCTGTGGTGGTTAAGGTATTTCTGAATACAGATGAGTGGTTAAATTACAGCAGGAGTTTGTTAAACGGGATGTTGTAACACTTACTGTGTTACACAATGACGGCCTCTGAATGGATATTCATCGTGTTTGTTTTCAGATGTATCTAGGCTTTTTAAATCGTTTATCCTATTAAGTCATAACGTTTTATATTATAAAGTTATAAAGTATTTCCGGTTATCGCTTTTTAAACCGTGCCCTTTATATATAGTTAATAAAGTGTACATAATGTACTTTTTCATATTTATAACATAATGCATTTTAAATGGTTTATCCTTTTGAGATATTGACAGTTAAGAACATTCATCATTTTTATAAAGTAAATCACTCAGCTGGTGAAAACTGTTGTAAAATGTACAAAAAATAACTCAGATGCATGTCGTCCGGCATTATAGGAAATGTAGTTTTTTTTCTTAACCCATACAGGGGACTACAAGTCAGGATTTGTACCAGACTCTGCTGCTTCAGTTTTGACTGTTAGAACTGTAAATCTTCTTTCTTGTTCATCATTAAATAGGTGATTGCAGAATAAAAAGACGTTTTAGCCCCCTCTCTTTCACATAGACATTTTTAAACCACATAGCCTATACGAACTTATTTAAATTAAATTAGGCAATAAAACAGAACAAACTTTACAAGTTAAGATAAATATACCGAGGCAGAAATGTCAATGAATCCCTTTTGTCGAGTCCCCCAATTTCATAATCAATATTACATGTATTCTGTCCTCAGTGTGTGTCTGAACACAAATCCACAGACTGCTAACAAGCTTCCAGAGAAGGTCAGAGGAGTAAAGTTGAACCCTCTTTACTGTTGTCTTCATTCTCGTGAAAGTACAATTTAGTAAAATAGCGATGCTTCTCAAAACAGAAATAGAGGAAAATACAAGGTAGCTGAACATGGATGTAAAAATGATAGCAGAAAACAATCTGCAGAATGCTGCACTACTCCTGAATGACCACCAGAGGGCACAACATCAGATATATATTTACATTATAATAGAGAGGCGAAGTCCCTCCCCTTCCGGTGGGACTCATGGGACCTTATTTCGGAAAAAGTTTATATTGAAGTCAATGGAGAGAGAAAGATTATCTTTCGATCCCGTTTGAATTGTGCCACGAATTACACATATGATGTTTGTCAATCTTAAATAATAATTTCCATGTCAAAAAAGTCACAGTTTGTCGTAAAACTGTTGAAATATAAGACTATGAAAAATACGAAACTAGAAAGACTACAAATCCCAGAATCCCGGTCCCGCATGCTGGCTCTTACGGAACCGACTAACTCCCCTTTTGTTCTCTCAACATGCCCAGACTTGGAGTGATTTTCACCTCTTTTAATACTTTTCGCCTCATTCTGAAAGAAAGAAGTGAAATGTGCCAACGTGACGGCCGTCTTGGTGTGTGGTGCGAGACAGGAGATGTAGTTCATTGAGCGGTTTCACACAAAAAAAAGTGTTACTTCACAGTTTCACGACACATTTACATTTTTTTGACTTGTAAAATTATCTTTTAAATTGACAAACATCATATGTGTAATTCGTGGCACAATTCAAACGGGATCGAAAGATAATCTTTCTCTCTCCATTGACTTCAATGCATAACTTTTCCGAAATAAGGTCCCATGGAGCTCAACCGGAAGGGGAGGGACTTCGCCTCTCTATAGAACAGGCCAACCTTGCTGGAGTGCCCTTAAAGGTCCCATGTCATGGCCATTTCTACTGATCATAATTCCATTGTTGAGGTCTACTAGCAAAGATTTATATTGTGTAATTTTCCAAACTCACATTGGTTTCTCATACAGCATCTCTGTAAAGTATGTGTATTCACTCTCTGTCCTAAACGCCTTGTTGGAGCTCCTGCCCCCCCCCTCCCTGTGAGCCCACTGTGCTCTGATTGGTCAGCTCGTTCTGATGAGTCAACCACCGTTACAGCGGAACATCAGTGATTATGTGTTACAATGGCGTTTGTTAGCAACCAGAAAATGCCACCAGTAAGGACAAACAGATGGGAATGCTGCGTGGGGTCTGGGTGCCGTGTTGGCGGGACGTTGCGGGGCTCGCTGCTGCGAGGAGTGGACAGTGTGAGCTGGGTTCATTTCCTGCTTGCTGCGTGGGGTGTGAGACAGCGAGACATCGCGAATGGACGCGGGAAGGGGGGGGGGGGGGGGGGTGATGAGGGGGCTACAGGCTCCACTAGCAATAGTATAGAATACACTTAGTAATATGAAAATCATGGCTTTTGTGTACTTGTAATTGTCGATGACTATCTAATATGTTCCCTTTGTGAATGTTTACCCAACTTAATACACATTCTGCAACCAAAAAGTTCATTATTAAACCTGATTTATATCAGTATTTGTTGGTTGTTTATATTTTAAGTTGCAGTCATAGTCCAGAACATAAGCCCCAGTAAAATTAAGACGTGTGGGAGTGGTGTAATATTCTCATGGTGTAGGTCAGACACTCACAGAGAGAGGAATACCAGACATTATCTGCACTTCCAAGCTCCCTTTGTCTTGCATTTGCTGCTACACACTAATACAGAGAAACAGAAAATAAATTGCACCATACAGACCTATACCTAATTGCACAGAAATGTACAGATTTATTACAGAAGTTGAAGTAGAAATTATTTATTCTTTGAAAACTAATCTGCAAAATGATTCCCTTCTTTCTACTTTCACAGTGAGCAGACATGGTGGATGTGCTGCTGCTTGGGACTCTGGAAGACTTGGGCAAAGATGACTTTCGGGATTTTAAGTGGTACCTCAATCAAAAGAACTTGGATGGCTGCAAACCAATTGCTGTTTGCAAACTGGAGGACGCAAGCAGGACGAAAACTGTGACAGAGATGACCAGCAGCTACGGTGAAGAAATGGCCATGAAGGTGGCTGTTGAGATTCTGAAGAAGATGAAGAACATGAAGGCTGCAGCGGAGTTGACGAAGAAATATGCAGGTGCAGTGGATGTGTCTTAAATGCACTTATAATATAAGCAAAATAAGTGACTTCACGGTTTTCTGGTACTGGATTTGTGTATTTTGTAAATTGTAATTTGTGTATTTATATACTTTTATCTTTCTCTTTGGCTCTTTACTTATGCTCTAACAATGTTAATTCCCCCTCTGTGGGACAAATAAAGGTATTCTGATTCAGATTCTTAAATATGATTCTGTGCATCTGTATGTTTTATCTGCAGAGATGATCAGAGCTGCATCCTCCTCCTCCTCCTCCTCCTCTGCTGCTGCTGCTTCACCTCCAGCTGCTTCACCTCCAGCTGCTTCACCTCCAGCTGCTTCACCTCCAGCTGCTTCACCTCCAGCTGCCAACACGATGTCGGCTCAAAACGAGAGTGTGATCGTCGCTCCGACAGTCACAGGCTCATCTCACACGTTCAACATAACCATCAATAAATGAGCACAATAAGACAGCACAATAAGAAATACGGGAATACATATATATATATATTTTGATATTGAGTGACTTTTACTATAGTCCATGAAACCATTACATGTTCCTGGTCAAATTGACATCTTTACCCGTTAGAGTCCTCCAACAGTGAAAGCCAATTTTCTTTAAGTCTCAATATTTAACATTAATAAGCAGTACACACATGATTAATTACACAATTACAATACATGCTTTGATATATAACCCTGTGTTATAGTTTTAAGCAGATATAAGGAACTTTTTGATGTCTAATAATGCTCACCCTATGAACACACATTTTCTAATAATACAACAGTTTTTTATGGTGACTGAGAGGTACACACGGGCCAAAAAATGTCCATTAGGAGACAAGCGCTGAAGTTTAAAAAAAAATAAGAAAACACAAATGTGCCAAAATTAAGAAACATCTTCACCAACTTGAAGAAACATGCGCAGGGTTTACTAAAAGTGTTGCACAAATTAAACTCTGCAAAGCTGCAAGAAGCTCAAAACACAACAGAAATGGGGACACTAAAAAGTGACGCACACAGCTGGGACCGGAGCGCTTGTTGATGTTCGGGGATTATAAAGTGAGCCCACTGTCGCTCTTGTTGGAAACTCACCTAAAATGTATGTTTTTTCAGCTTATTTAAACAATGTGATCGCATGATTCTTTCTGATATTATGGCAGATCTGCTGTAAGCTAGCTAGCTAACGTAGCTAACCTAGTCATTTTCAAATATACTAACAAAACACTAACAATTATGAAACAACGTCAACAAGCGCAACAAGTGTCCCCTGCTTTCTATTGTGCTTTGAGATTGAGTTATAAAGCAATAATTCAATGTCAACATAATGCTTTTCATTCCTTTGTTTGTTGTTGTAAAGACCAGAGCAAATCCAAGACTCATGATAACCAAAGATGTGACAATGACATGACACAATATCTGACATTTGAGACAAAGTATCCATTTAAAAATATGCTATAACAAACTTTATTCCAAATAAACAACAACAACAACACATGCAGTGTTTTCATTTCTTGGTTTGCAATACAGTTGAGAGAGGGTTCAGAATAATAGATGTGTAAAGTTATAAACAGTTCAATTTAAAGACGACTTTTATACACAGCAGTGAGGCAATAAGAGTGAATACATTGTTAAAGCTCAACAATGTGTTTTGATTAAAACATCTTAAGAATTATAATTTTAAAGTGGTAGTTTTACTATATTTCTACATATTTAAAGTGTTGATACTAAAATGTAAGCAGCTTCATCCTAACTGCAGGTGCTTGTTATCTCCTCCTGTCGTCAGCAGGTGGCGCTGTGGTCTCACATTAATGTGCTGCTGTCTAAAAAACAGCAGCACATTTTTTCTACATCCAATCTTAAGTGAGTGCATTTTTGTGTCTTTCTGCATTATTATGTATTTTCATGTATTGTTTGTTTGTAATTAAATTAGCAGTAAGAAAAAGGTTTATCAATTATACACGACAAGAGGTTCTTTGAACAGGATGTTTTTTTATCTTGGATTATTTGGGAACATTATATTTTGGTTTGTGGGATAAGGTCCGTCTCCAAGTTTGGCAAATGTCTCATGTTTACTCGTAAAATGTTCACTCCAAGCATCAATCTGGAAGAGAACACTCCTTATTTCTTGCATGCTTATCCATGTCATAGTTAATAAATTAAGTTTAAGGGAACATAATTGTAAGATTATGAGATATAAGACTATTTATTTTCTATATTTACTCATCCTTAAATTAAAATACTGCTCTATTGTTGTTTTTTCAGGAATTACAATTTGTATTTTCTTTTACTTTTAAAGTGAAAGGAGCAGAGGTGGAACACATTCTCAGATTTCTCACTTAAGTTAAAGTAGAAATACTACATTGTATAAATACTTTGTTACAAGTAGCTTATTAAGTATTGGCATCATAATATACTGAAAGGAGGCAGGTGAACAGATAGACATCAAAGGGGGCTTGAGCACCTGCCGTAGAATGTACTTTTTTTAAATGTACAAAATAATTAAATTGTCTAACATAAAGCAAAAAAATACATAATACATACAACAATAATACATTATCTAAAGCTAATGTGTTGCTTTTATAATTGTGTGCCTAATTATGACATGACATGTTAATTATATTGAACCACACACATTTTAATATCCCTTAAAACTGTCAGAAAAGTAGATATTCCAGGAATACATTTTTATAGTAACAAAAGTCACTGGTGTGCCTTTTATTGAATTTGGTACGCACAATAATTTGAGTACTTATTGTCCCATTTTAGAATCTTATTTATTAAATCAATGGATTATAATAATTCACCCATTAATGTGTTCATCACAGCTGTAAACAGTGGAGCTAATGTATTTACTTGATATACTGCTGCTGGATATCTTAACTTCGTATCAAAGTTTATATATTATATATTGTAGAGCCGATGAAAGGGAGTCAGAGGCGGTGTGTTCAATATGGAACTCCACACTTTATTATCCATTAGACAGAAGACAAGGTAAGTAACATCTGCTTGTTGCTAATCAAGCTAGCATGAATGACACCAACCCCGGTACCCTCACTAACGGGTCCGGGTTGCAACACAATCATCTCAACGGTGAATTATGTCCCATAACGTGTCACCACACAAGCCCCCCCAGAAATCACCCATAAACAAAGTCAGCGTGGCGGGGAGGAACGACAGGTCGACCCCCACGACTCCTGAGCACGGAGCATTCCTGAGCATTCAGTGACAGGGATCAAGGCCGGGGGCCGCCCCCATTGCGGAGGTTGTGCTAGCACCACAGGCTGGCCCAAATCCAAGTGGGCCGCCTTCACCCGGTCCACCGAGACGTGCTCGGCCTTACCACCCAGGTCGACCACTAGGTGTTTGTCCCCGTGTTCCAAAACCCGGAAAGGTCCATCGTAAGGAGGCCGTAGAGGACCCCTGTGCGCATTGTGTCGGATGAAGACGTGCTCTGCCGAGCGGAGATCCGCGGGAACCCGGGACACCTGCGTACCATGTTGAGCAGTGGGAATCGGAGCAAAAGTCTCAGCGGCGTCCTGCAGGCAAACCCGGTGCGCCGACGCCGACCAGGGAGCCGACGCGTCAGGGAGGAAATCCCCTGGAACCCTCAGCGGCTGACCGTAGACCATCTCAGCCGTGGAACACTGCAGATCTTCCTTAGGCGCAGTCCGCAGGCCCAGCATTACCCAAGGCAGCTTGTCGACCCAATTGCCGTCCTTCAGGCCGGCTCTGAGTGCTGCTTTCATGGAGCGATGGAAATGTTCACAGAGGCCGTTAGCCTGAGGGTGATAAGCGGTTGTCCTGTGAAGCTTAACCCCCAAACCACACGCCACGGCGTTCCAAAGCTCAGACGTGAACTGCGAACCCCAGTCAGAGGAAATGTCCGACGGGGTGCCAAACGTTGGCACGAGAGGAACCGCCTCCGGCCAACGAGTCGCCCTGTCCATGTGAGGATCTGCAGTACTTCCTCCTTCTTTTCCCCTTCTGTGTTTGTTTTGTCTGTTTGTCTGTTTGTCTGTCTTCCTGGCTGGGTGTGGCTGACCTACATTCTGATTCCCGCCAACTCACCTCCGCTGCTGTTGTTCATCTCACTGATTGCCACTACTCACCTGCACCTGCTTAAAACCCTGGTTCCCATCCTCAGACTTCGCCAGTTCTTCCTTTATTCTTCAGTGGTAAACTATCGTCCAGGCCTACTAGTATTTTTCCTAGTGATTTTTTGATGCTCCTTGTGAAAGGATATTCTTTCCTAATCCTGCTTATTTTTCCTGTTCCAGATCCACATATACCTGCCGCTCTGCCTGCCACGTCCAGCCTCCCCTCCTGGTCAGTCCAGCTCCACGACTCCCTTCTATGTGCTCTTCGTCAACTCCTTGCCAGTGTCGTGGGCAAAATAAAGCCCTTTTTGACACTTCACCACTGTCTCAGTTTTAGTGCTTGCATAGCGGGTTCTCATCTCCAGTCACTTCTCGGGAAGCCTAACAGTCCACCATGGTGAGGAGGTAGGAAAAACCCTGAGAGCAGGGCAATGGACCCACTAGGTCGATGTTGACGTGGTCAAACCTTCTCTCCGGCACCAGGAAACGTTCCAAAGGGGCTTTCGTGTGGCGGTGCACCTTAGCGCGCTGACAAGCCACGCACTCACCAGCCCAAGTCCTTACGTCCTTTTTTAGCCCCCGCCAGACGAACTTCGCGGCCACCAAGCGCACCGAAGGCTTACCGCCGGGGTGAGACAGGTTGTGCACCGCCTCAAAAACGGAGCGTCTCCAACTGGCGGGAACAACTGGCCGCGGCAGGCCTGTGGAGACGTCGCACAGGAGAGTAACGCCCGCGTCACCGAAAACCACGTCTTCCAAGCGCAGCCCCAAGCTATCCTCCTTCAGGGCCTGTAGGCCGGGGTCCGTGACCTGGTCCGTCGCCATGCGGGTATAGTCCAGGCCCAACTGAACTGCCCCGATGACGACCCTGGAGAGGCAATCAGCGACCAGGTTCGATTTGCCAGCCACGTGCTTAATGTCTGTGGTGAACTCTGAGATGTAAGACAGCTGCCGCTGCTGACGTGCAGACCAAGGCTCCGCCACTTTTGACATGGCAAACGTGAGCGGCTTGTGGACGACAAAAGCCGTAAATTCACGGCCTTTCAGCAAAAAACGGAAGTGCCGCACGGCCAGCCAGAGTCCAAGGAGCTCTCGGTCAAAGGCGCTGTACCTGCGTTCCCTGGGCGTCAGCTGACGGCTGAAAAAGGCGAGTGGCTGCCAAGCGCCCTCCACCCACTGCTCGTGCACCGCACCAACGGCGTAGTCCGATGCGTCTGTGGTAATGGAGATGGGAGCCGTGGACGATGGGTGCGCCAACAGGGCCGCCTGAGCCAACGCGGTCTTGACCTCCGTAAAAGCAACCTCAGCTTCCGCCGTCCAGTCGATCGCCTGGATGGGGGCCTTACCCTTCAAAGCCTCATACAGCAGCCGCATAATGTGGGCGGCCCGGGCGATGAAACGGTGGTAGAAAGTCGCTATTTCGCCCACCTGTTTTTGTTCGTGGACGGGACGGCCATTTTTGAGCTTTTTCTGGTGCCTGAGAGGAGGTTCGACCATGTCTGGTCGGCCTCGTGTGGACCCTCTCGCTGTTATCACCACCTCGACGGCGGTTTCGGACGTCACACGCGGCTGCTTCGGCCCGTGGGTGACGCGCTTCTGGACCCCGTCTCGCCTCTTCCCTCGCCTCAGCAGTTCCGGACGTCGCCCATGCCTTCATCGGCCCGTGGGTGGCGCGCTACGGGACCCTGCCTGGCCTCACCTCTAACCGCGGCTCACGGTTCGCCTCGACGGCGCCCCGTCTGGCCTCTCCCCTGTCCACGTCTCCCTCCTCCCGGGGACACGGCTCCTTCCTCCCGAGGACTTCGTGCCCGCCGCCGCTGTGCCTTCGCCTGCGGCCGGGCAGCGCTCCTCCCTGCTGGGGACCTCCGGGTGTTTCACGCCTGTCCCCACGACGCGACCCTCTCCTGCGGCCCCCTGACGACGGCCCGTTCCATGGCCCGCCCTCCTCGGCCCCTGTGGTGCTTCCTCCCGGACGCGGGGATTGTGTCCATGGTTGAATTCTGGGGGGGCTTGTGTAGTGACCACTATTTAACTAGGGTACATAATTCACGCATGGAACTACAGGTTGGGGGTATTGTTTCCGCCCGGACATATATGTTGACGGTACCTCCGGGGTACCTACAGTGTGTGTGTCCCTTTCACTTTCTCTTGTCTCCTGTGCCTTCGACCCGACAGCATGTCGATTTCTGCTCCCCAATAAAGAGAGATTTGCACCTCCGATGCACCGCCTCCGTCTCCCTTCTCTCGGCACTACAATGTTGTATTAATTTATAATGTGAATATGTAAAGTAACTCATTTTGTTAAATACATGTAGAGGAGTTAAAAGTACAATAGTGTACAGTGGAGTAAAAGTATACAAGTAGCAATAAATGGAAATAGTTAAGTAAAGTAAAA